GGTATTTGAAAATTCCAATTTTTCGCTACAAATAACATTTGCAACTAATATTGCATTTTTTTTGTTTTGAAAATACCACAAACCATCAATAATTTGAATACCCACCACCCAATAAATATTCCCCGACAACTAATGATGTTTTGTTTGTAGCATAAATGTATGTATATATAAAAACAAAAAAAATAATGAACTAAAAATAAAAAATATATCATGGCATGTGTTTTTGTTGTTGGTCCGAGAGAAAATTTTTTTATTACTATCACATCGATATATGTTTGTATATATAATGTCAAACGAATTGCCATAAAGAAAACGTTTTATTCATAGCGCATCCGAATAAAATATAGTGCTTTGGAATTATAATTATGTTTATGATTTTTCGACCTTTTGAATGTTTAATAAATTAGAGATGGTTGATCGAGCTTGAGGTCAATGTTTTTTTATTTATTTATTATTTTCCAATATTTCGAAATTCGTTGAATTTCATCTTCAGGGAAGTTGATCTACAATAAATAAACATTACAACTAATTAGAATATATATCACAGCTTTTTTAATACTAAAAACATATATAACTCGTAAGATGTGATCGCTTACTTTTAAATAACGAACATTAAATAATTAGCTTAAAAACTAGCGTAGTGTGACTACCACGGTCAAAAGTTATTATTGCACTGATTGTTATTTGTTAATTGCACGATCCCCTCCTACGCGTTAGATGTCTGTAGCAATAAGCTGTGTTGTCTGTGTCTGCTTTGTTGTTGATTCGTTTTGTTGTTGGTAAACTATTAATGTGGAGCATCTCTATTGTTAGTCTCTTGTTAGGTATGTGATTGTTATGTTTACAGTGTTCTGCTAACGCCGTTTTTTGTATTAAATTTGTGTTTCTTAATTTAATGTCAGATTTATGTGCTGACATTCGCGTTTTCAGTTTATTTTTTGTTGTTCCAACATATAATTTTCCGCAACCTTCTTTCTCGTTACCACCACATTCTATCTCGTATATCACATTATGTTTGTCCATCTTTGGAATTTTGCTTTTTACTTTACTATATAGTGATTTTGTTGTCTTATATGAGCTATGTGCTATTGTATATTTTGTTTTGTCGTAAATATCAGATTTTTCCAATCGTTCAGATATATTTGGTAAATATATCAGTGATTTATATATCTTTTTTGTTTCCGATTCTGTCTCGTTTCTCGTTTTCTCGTTTTTTTATTTCGTGTTGACTTATCAAGGATTTTATTAAATATATGGGAAAATTATTTTGTATTAGTATGTCTTCGATTTTTAATTTATTTTTCTTGTGAAACTTTTTGTCACTTATATTTAATACTCTATTTATTAAGTTTTTTGCTGTATTTATTATTGTTCGTTTTTTGTGCTTGGAGAAGTAATTAATTAATCTTCCCGACGCCGTTGGTTTTTGATACCAGTCTAGACATAATCCATTATTTTTGTCCCTTATTACCATGGTGTCCAAGTATGAAATTTTTCCGTTGTTTTCTTCTTCCACAGTGAATTGTATTTTTCTATTGAAGCCATTTAGAGTTGTCAAAGTCTGTTGTATTGCATCTTCCCTTATAATTAAGAATAAATCATCCACGTATTTCGTCAAGATTTTTGGTTTTATTGGTAATGAGTCAATCGTGGTGTTCAACAAAGATTCCATAACTAAATCCGCAAGTATGGGTGATGCAGGTGATCCCATGGGTAATCCTGATTTTTGTTTGTATATTTTATCTTCATACTTGAAATATCTATTATCTTTTATGCAGAATTGAACTATTTTCAAGAACATGTTTTTTTCCATGTTTGTGTATTGTTTAATTTCATCCCATCTTTCATCAATAATTTTTAGTCCTAATTCTACAGGAATGCTTGGGAATAGGGATACTACGTCAAAGGAGATCATTCTTTCATTGTCATTAATTGTCAAATTCTTTATCTTATTTCTAAATTGCACCGAATCCTTAACATTATAAATGGAGTTTTTTGTTAAATTCTTTAAAATATTCACTATGTATTTACATAGTTTTATCGATGGCGAATTTATTGATGAGCAAATGGGTCTGAGTGGGAATCCCTCTTTATGTATTTTTGGTAGACCATATATTCTAGGTGCCGTTGCAACATCCGTCTTTAATCTTTTCTTCTCTATAAGCGATATGCATTTATTATTAAATAATTCTTCTATTATTTTATTGTTTTCCTTTTGTAAATTCGATGTAGGGTCCTTATTAATGCGTTGGTATGTCATCATGTCCGATAATATATTCGACATTCTTTCTTGATAATCTGTTTTATTCATAGCTACCGTCACGTTTCCTTTATCTGCATTAAGTATAAGTATGTCTTTATTTTGTTTTAGAAATTTTTGGGTTCGTTCCACTGTGCGCATCATGTATTTGTCTCTGTTATTCTCTCGCATTCTGTTAGTATGTGTTTCTAACATTGTTGTCAGTTTTGTTCTACTCATTTCTTGTTGTTCTTTGTCGGTTGTTGTTTGTATGATATCTTCCGCGTCAGCAATATATTTAAATAGAGGGAATTCCGTTCTACTTGTTGGTAGACAATGTTTGTCTCCTAACGAGAGTAACCATGTCACATCATCGGGAAATGTTTTGTTGGTTTTGTTGACGAACCAGTTGTTGTTGCATTTTATGTTAAGCTCTTTGTTAAGTTTGTTTTGTAGTTTCTTGAATTTTTCTTTATGAGTTTCGTCTTGTTGTTTCTGTGTTCCTGTTATTATAATATTTTCATTAAACTTAATTTGTTCCTTTTCTTCTTCGGAAAGGTGTTCGTTTAATTTATTTTCTATGTTAATTAAAATATTTTCGTTGATTTTTAATTCTTCGTGTTTTTGTTTAATTATTAAGTTTAGTAATGTACCTTCAAAAGCTTGCATATGTGATTTTAATACGGATTTTATGTGGTGGTTGTTGTAATTTGTTCTAAAAATTCCATGTATGTTCTTGATGGCGTTTTTTATAAATATACAATAGCACATAGCTCATATAAGACAACAAAATCACTATATAGTAAAGTAAAAAGCAAAATTCCAAAGATGGACAAACATAATGTGATATACGAGATAGAATGTGGTGGTAACGAGAAAGAAGGTTGCGGAAAATTATATGTTGGAACAACAAAAAATAAACTGAAAACGCGAATGTCAGCACATAAATCTGACATTAAATTAAGAAACACAAATTTAATACAAAAAACGGCGTTAGCAGAACACTGTAAACACAACAATCACATACCTAACATAGACGACGTGAAAGTGTTACAAGAAGAGAGCCATTACAACAAGAGACTAACAATAGAGATGCTCCACATTAATAGTTTACCAACAACAAAACGAATCAACAACAAAGCAGACACAGACAACACAGCTTATTGCTACAGACATCTAACGCGTAGGAGGGGATCGTGCAATTAACAAATAACAATCAGTGCAATAATAACTTTTGACCGTGGTAGTCACACTACGCTAGTTTTTAAGCTAATTATTTAATGTTCGTTATTTAAAAGTAAGCGATCACATCTTACGAGTTATATATGTTTTTAGTATTAAAAAAGCTGTGATATATATTCTAATTAGTTGTAATGTTTATTTATTGTAGATCAACTTCCCTGAAGATGAAATTCAACGAATTTCGAAATATTGGAAAATAATAAATAAATAAAAAAACATTGACCTCAAGCTCGATCAACCATCTCTAAGTGCTTTGGAATTTTCACATTTTTGATTAACACAATTAAATTAAATTTATGGATTAGGTATTTCAAATTAAAATTAATTTTGGATCTCTGGAATAATTTAAAAAACGAAATTTGATTAAATATAGAATGTTTCATTTTGTTTATCAACAAACTTCTTCGTCAAAGAAATCAACGCAAGTAAATGGTGATTGTTTAGCTATTATATAATTGTTATTAAATACGTTCGGGGTTTTGTTCCCCTGTCAACCATTTTCAATTTGGTCTATCCCGACCTCGATTTTGTGATCAGTTTAATGGGCACAGAAACGAACTACTGTGACACCACCAACACGCATACGTAGAGTACGAACTGAAAAAAATATCGCAGCTGTATCGGCCATTGTTAATTCATCGCTTATCAATTCATCGCTGTTCGCAGAAATTTGACTTCTGTTACTCAAAAACGTGGACAATTTTGCGGAAGTTTATGGCTATGAATCCTTCCAAAGTATAGCTGATGCAAGAATTGGAACCAAACGACCTATCGCAATGCATAGTTGTTGTTGAACCAACAAGCGTAGAAACTGAGGCAAGTTGGGTGACCGGTCAATTGGCCGCCTAGTTCGTGTGATTAAAAGCTTTTAAACTATATTTTGTGGCGCTATTTTAAAGGTCATATCTATAGAGATAAGCCCGCTTCAATTGACGCATTGTAGACAAGAAGATTATGCCAAGAATGCCATTGGACTAAGCACTGCATAGTATATGTATAACAACCCATAGCCGCCGATTACCAACAGAAAATTGTGGTATTGGTCCATATTTTGATAAAAACATAAATATAGGTCCATGTTTTGTCATAGAATCTTTTGGGGATCCGTCCTGTTTCATACGTTTTTAGATATTTTCTTGCCAGATATTTACGTATTTTAAGGCGCAATCACTGACCCGAACTTAAAAGCTTTTTTTACTCCTTACACCCTGGAATGTTTATTAAATTTGTGATTCCTTTGGCAACACTTCGAAATATTCTCCTTAGACCCAATGAAGTATATATTCTTGATCCGAATAAAATTCTATGTCGATTTAGCCAAATTCTCTCGTCCGTATGTTGAAATCACGATAGAGATAGTAATATTGCATATACATTGTTAGTACTTCTCGTATGTTTGTTGTTGAAAATGATAGATTTTATGGGATAGTCCCCATATAACAGCTAGCCGACATCATTCTAGACTTAATTGAGTACGCTATGCCAAATTTTGTGCAAATCGGAAAATATATAAGGACTTTGGAAGACCATTTACATAAAATCGGACGAAAATATATATGAGAGCTATATCTAAATCTGAACCAATTTTCACGAAACACATAATTCTAGACTCAATTCAGTACGCTATGCCAAATTTCGTGCAAATCGGGAAATATATAGGGACTTTAGTGTAACATTTCTATTAAATCGGACGAAAATATATATGAGAGCTATATCTGAATCTGAACCGATTTTTACGAAACATAACACACATCATTCTAGACTCAATTCAGTACGCTATGCCAAATTTCGTGCAAATCGGGAAATATATAGGGACTTTGGTGTAACATTTCATTAAATCGGACGAATATATATATGGAAGCTATATCTAAATCTGAACAGATTTGTACGAAATTTAACACACATCATTCGACATTTAATTCAGTACGCTATGCCAAATTTCGTGCAAATCGAAAAATATATAGGGACATTGGAAGACCATATCTAAATCTGAACCGATTTTTACGAAACATAGCACACATCATTCTAGCAGTTATTCAGTACGCTATGCCAAATTTCGTGCAAATCGGAAAATATATAGGGACTTTGGAAGACCATTTACATAAAATCTGACAAAAATATATATGAAAGCTATATCTAAATCTGAACCGATTTTACTAACTTTCAATAGGGTTCGCCCTTGGGGCAAACAAATGAGCTGTACCAAATTTCATCCAAATCGGATTATAAATGCGACCTGTACTTTGTTTACAATTTAACACCAACAGACGTACCGAGATGATAAATCGACTCAGAAAGTGGTTCTATGCATATTCTCAAAAGGAACCATGTGTCTATCTCATTTCCTTTTGGCTGTTACATGCATATGCACAAAGAAAATACCCTATACCAAAGTGTGGTGATATTGATCCGCGGTTTTTAGCGGTTTTAGTTGCACTTTCAGACCGATGTCGATGGAATTTGATGCAAATGTTTCTGAAGGCTGGCACACATAAAGAAAATGATAAATATAGGTCCATGTTTTGACATAGCTCCCATAATGCGCAGCGCCCGATTGCCAGTATTTTGAAGACATATTCCGCATATATCCATTGTAGTGGCTGGAATTTGGCATTCCAAGAGGATAAAACACATTTTTGCGGAAAATTTTCTATAGTCCTACTTTTGATATAGCCCCATATAATGATTCCGCACATTTTCAGATTTTTATCAGTCATTGTATTGGCATATCCCACATAGAAAGATTCCGCCCCATTTTCGGTATTATTATGTTTTTTAACCAATTTTTCTCATCGAAATGACTGTAATTTGTATATCGGATTCCTGATGAATAAAAAATTTCTTTCCGGAAATTTTTCAATATAGGTTAATTTTTTTGGAATATCCCCCATAGAAGTGTCCCATTTAATTTTCGGTATGTTGAACTTACTACTGTTTTCCAAACATAAGTGTGTGTAATTTGGACCATTATTTTTTCATACCATGAATTTTTTTCACATAAATCAATAACATAGTCCCCATATAAAAAGGTTCCGACCGATGTGGGAAATTTTGAATGCACACCAGGTGGAGGAGGGTATAACATGTTCGTTCTTAGCTCACAAGTCATATTAGCCAGATATATGGATTGTTTCATGAAAAACGATTTTTATAATTCTATGAAAATGAAAAACTGTATATCTTCGACCCATTGAGTCCATCTGCTTTATTGCAGTTGCTACTTATTTCACTTTATAATTAAATATACCCAATATACATATGTAACTTAATCTATAATACATTCATTTGCTATTTTTAAATGGCAAAACATTTTCTAATTTCACTTCAGTATAGGTGTATTTCTTTGGCAGATACTTAACAATAAATGGTGATACAAGTCTCTGATCCAACTTCGAAACGTCATTCAAGCCAAAGAACAAACAGGCGACATTTGAGGCCACCATAACTAAACAGGCGCCCAAGCCGGTGTACCACAAAAAGGAAATGTGATAAATATTAGTGCCATGGGAAGGTAAACTGAAAAAGAGATGTTTATTAAATACACAATTAATATTTTTATAAATTCCAAACTTACTACTCCGCTGTGGAATTCAAATATTTGGTCATATCAAAATTATAACTGCAACCCTCCACGGAAACTGGTAACTTGGGATGACGAAAAGATCCTGTCACATTGGCAATTTGGGCATTAACACATATCCAGGCCATGCTTAGGAAGGAGAAAATGCTGCCAGCCAGGACACTCTGTCAAAAAAGGAATTTATTTGAAAACATCCATTTTATGTTTCACCCCTCTACCCACCTTCTCATTTAACCATGGCATCAGCATGCCCACGGTAAATATACCCAACATTGGTCCATAAACAATCGATTGCAGTGTTGCGGATAACTGCAACACCATACCCAATTTTTCGACCACATACACCAAACCAATCGAGCTAAGGCCACAAACCACAACCACGGTACGCATAATCAATCCCGTTGTCCTCTCACTTATTGGCTTCTTAGAAAATGGTTTAATAAAATCTTCCAAAACCACAGCGGCCAGGGAATTCAAATATGTTGACAGTGAACTCAACGCAGCACTAAAGACTCCGGAAACAAAGACCCCCGGCATACCAGGAAATTTACCCAAGACATTCATTACCAATACGGGGACCAATTGATCACGGGAATGACATAGCTGTGAAGATAAATTTGGAATTATTTTTTTTTCATAATATTTTCTAAAAAATACTTACCCCCGTCGAAATCGGATCACAATCATGGAATGTGGCAAAGGCCAACAGGCCCACATAAATACAAAGGCTATATAGTAAAGTCAGACCAATGGAAAAGGTCCACAAAGTTTGCTTGATTTTCTTTAGATTCAGTAGGGACATAAAGCGTTGTATGGTTGGCTGATTAATCGAGGTATTCTGCAGCTT